AAAGATCTCAAATATACGGTGTAATTTTTTGGTTGTGAAGAGGGAAGCTCAAATAAGCAGGATCAGCATTACCCAGATCTCGTAAGCCCTCGTAAACTCAGGTTCTGCCAGTGAGGCCAAGTGCCTTTGCACTGCACAGCCCAGAGCTCTGTGTTTCAAAAGCACAAAGGAAACAGTCCGCCTGGTTTTGTGGGGTGCAGCACTTGGGTGAACGACTCCTGATGGACCCGTGCTCTGCACTGAGCCAGCTCAGCTATCCCACCCTTCACCCCGGTAAATCTGCAGTCCCTGGAACCAAGAGTTAATTATACTACCCTGTCCTCAGAAACTGCTGAATCACAGAGGAGGTTATATTTTCACAAAACAAAACTAAGAGGTAGAGAGACAAATAAACAGAGACGGGGATGAGAAATCAAATGGCATGACAGAAACTAAAAGCAAAAAAAGGCCAAAGCAGAGAAGTAATATATAGATTTTCTGCCTGGATAGCTACATTTGGGCAAAATTGTAACCGTCTAAAAACATAGCCTTTTAATGGGAAGTTGGATAGTCTTATTAGAAGGAGGTGTTGCTAACTTTGTCTATAAATAATAAATCCTCGTGTTTCTCTGCATAAGTCATGCTGCAACTATCCAAAATCAGGAAGATATATCATATGGCGTGTCACTGCAGGCTACCTATTACTGTCATTTTTGAACTTGACTTTGAACTGCACGATGAAAGCCACTGTCAGAGGCACAGAACAATAATTTCAGACTTGCAAGTTAATTACTCTGACAAGGAAGGACACCCTTTTCCCTCTCATTCACTTTTTTAGCAAAGCCCCAGAGACATTTATTACGTGTTGCTTCGTTATGTTTGTACATCAGTTTCATCTGAATATAGGATGAAACTTCACACACTTTCTAAAAAATTGTCTAGTGTTGTGGTGCACTGGTAAGTAGTTATCACAATCCACTACACATCTATTTTGGGCCAGTATAGCCACCGCTATCATATATCTCATTTGCATAGCAGTTTTGTTATTAAAAGTGGCTACGTAAATAAATAAATAAATAAAATGTAGAAAATGCTAGAAAAAAGTTTACTGTTACAACAATGCTGCCACCTGGTAACCAGAAGTGTAATAGCAGAGAAAACATTCATTTTCGTCTGCCTTGAGCAAGCAGTCACTATTTTAAACAGCACTTAAAAAAATCACAAAAGATGCAAAAGTTGTAACTGGAATAGGATCATTTCCCTGCACCAGATTAAATCATTCTCGTGGCTCTGTTTCATTGTGGGGAAGAAGTAACTCATACCCTCCCTAGATTAAACTTGATTCTGAATCCTGGAAAGTATCTATGGAGAATAACCAGCTAAGGGGCTGACTCACCACAGTACTTGAATTAAATATGCCTGATTTTGAGCACACAAGTATCAAAATTAAGTCCATGTTTAAGGTTATTCATGTGCTCCAGTAGTCTGATGAACTAAAACTATACCACTAAATGTTTACAGAAAGAATCAAATCTACAGTGAGAAAGATAGGGAATAGAGAAAATTAAATTCTGAGAAAAGACATCCGAAGAAAACTAGATGTCAGGTGCTGTCATAGGCAGAAAATCCATTCATGAAAAGGAAAATGCTACAACCACATTAAATAAGGAATATTTATTTAAACAGAGGAAAAAAAACACATACAAAGGTTGGAAAACACAAAATGCATTGGGAAAAGGCTCCCAGGCACTTAAGAGAGTCTATAACTCTCCAAGTCTAAGATAGTTTCTCCGTATCTGTGATTAGTAAGCAGGAGAGAGTGCAAAACAAAATAAACTTATTTGCATGATCCCAGCAAGTCTCATTGGGATGAACTCCTGCACGGCGTACTCCCTACATTAGTAAAGAAATGCAGAGTATATTCTCTGGCTTTCCTTTCTAATACACAGTGCAAATGCTTCATCATCTTATTATGTATTTTTAGCGACCTATTATCCTAGCATATTCAATTTTTTACATTAGCATGAACTTCTTCCAAATTCCCTAGGAAATAATGGCTCAGACAGTTACTGGGATACTACCCTCAAACAACACACCCTTAGAATTCAATCTAATGAATGACTGTGTCTCCTTTGAATGCCAACACAGTTTAGATCATCCCATAAATTTCCAGAGAAACACATAAATGCAATTATTCTGCAAGCCATGCGATGGCAGAATGAGCTCCCCATTTGTCCTGGAGGAAGCAGGACCCTTCCATCACTGTCAAAGTGATGGAATTGACCTCTTACAGACACGTCGTTGTCAGACACATGCCTGACAATTTTACAGACAAATATCTGACAATAAGAAAGTGGGAAATAAAGGAAAATGCTTCTTTATGTAACATCAGGTTTAAAAGAGGTTTAATGTAGATTTACACAGCTGTATTTTTTGCCCTAAAAAACTGGAGATGCTGTGTCAAAAGTATAGAAAATAACCAACATTCAGACTCTGAATGGCAATTTCTGTTCTCCTACAACAAAAGGATATTCAAATTAAAAGTTGGAAAATTCAGAATCAACAACAGAATTCTTACTTTTAAAATGTGTATTTCAACAGTGGAATCACTACTATTAGAAAGTATTGAGTCCAAGGAGTTGATGTCATTTTAGAGAGAAATGAGTATTTAGGTGAATCAGTAATACTGAGAGTTCCAAGAACCTGGAAGAAACGCTGAAGTTGTACTTAAGCCAATATCTATTGGCATTCAGAATGAGTTCTGTGTTAGATGTGCATTATCCCACATTTAATTATTCCAAGGTTCTCAGTTCTTGCTTTGAAGCACCTCCTACTGGACACTCACAGAGAACAAATACAGGCTTGGAGTATATGATAAATACTACATTCCCGCACTTTAACGAGTTTGTATATAAGTATGTATTTCCTTTAAACCCACACAAATGGGTTATTTCCACTCACGCTATTTTAGTTAAAGGTAATAAAGGCCTACGGTGCTATAAAAAAAAAACTTCAGAGCTGAACAAACTTTTGAATCCAAGTCTAACACAACATGTCAGCATACTAGGTATCAAATCAAGAACCTCAGAACACAGCATATAGTCTTCCAGTAAAAATAAATATTTGCTAATAAGTGAAGGAGAAAGGATGAAGGAGAAAAACTAAATTCTCTAAGCAAAATAATTCCTGAGGAAGATTACTATATTCTGATGGCAATTACAAGAGGTTCATGTTTTAAATACTGCAGAAGTGACTTCTAGTCAGCTAATTTTCTTCGTAAATGTTAGTTCAAGGACACATACTAGAGAGGCAACCGAGTTGGGAGGAAGCATGGCTCTGACCACAGTCCACCTCTGGATAATCTGCAGAGATTTTTTTTTTTTATTTTCTTTCTCCCTGGTAGCTCTGCCTCCTGGGGCCTCTCTTGTCTAAGGCTGCAGGGAGACAGCTCTCTTCCCAGAAGGGATCTGGATGCAGTTCCAACAGTGTGTTGGGGATCAGCTCTGGAGACAAGACGAAGTTAATGGCAGCTCTCTAATAGAGAGAAATATTTAAGAAAGGAATAATGATCTTCACTAGTCAAGTGGCAGATTTTGCACACTATGGGACCCAAGCTCTTTGAAAGAGTTCAAGCCAAAGCAAAGAGCCACGATTTCCTGACTCTCAGTGAAATGCCTCAGGCACAGGATAGTAAGTCAAAAACATTATCATGCTAACTTGTGCTCCACTAGAAACAGTAGCAATGGAAAATGTACATAGGTCACATCCTGCTTATCTTCCTCCCTCATCTGTAAAAAACTCCTTCAGGGGAAGGGGAGGAAGTATTTGGCCCAAAATGTTCCCATTTGTGCTATCAGTCTACGCAGGGAGTCAGATGTGAAAGCCAGACACGAAGTACAGTGACTGATGGGCTGCGTGCACACTCGTCTATTCTGAGCTCCCTGTCAAAAGCAGAAATCCTTTACGTTGAGGTTTTTACAGGCTAATAAAACTGGAAAAACTGAAAACCACATTTTCTTCTTAAATTCTTTTTTCAGTATTAGTGGTAGCTAAAATGTACTAAAATCTTGGCCTACAGAATTTCTCTGATAAAGCTCAAAACTCAAAATGAGACAGACAAAAGTGACAGGAAAGGGATACACCACCAAGTCAATAAAGGGGTGATTGTCCACAGTTACTATTTTGACATACCTAAATGCATGAATAAATAAGAAGCAATGACTGAAGCATGAAATGGCAATACCAGAGTAGTTTTCTAGTGAGGTTTCCCCCAGATCTTTTCTATATAGTTAAGCAAAATTAAAACTTCTAGAGGTATCAAATAGAACCCTGGAACTATTTTTTGAATGGTACTTAAACAAAACCAAAACAAAAAAGACTTGCTAGTTTTCAAGAAGTCTATGCTGCAAATCAAGTGGGTGGATGGGGAGGGAGGACTGAAACTATTTAAGTAGTGTCATGCTTTCTAGTTGTGACTGCAAATGTCAGTAATGTGCAAGTGTCTCTGAAAAAGAAAGTTCTTTCCAGAAGGTTCACATTTAGTTCTACAAACACAGTCTTCGGTAGGAGAGAAAAAAAACAAAAAACAAATAAACAAAAAAACCCAACCAAAACCAAGAACAAAGTTCTCTGAGGAGCTGTTCAGTTCTGACCCAATTATAACAATAATACAGACTGGAATAGGTAGCAAGAATGCAAGCAGATACATACTTAAAGTACAGAACCAGCACACAGGAGATGTAACTATTGGATCTAGTTTGCTGAATGTGCTGTAAACATGGCAGCATAGGAACTCTTAATGTGACACGTACGGGAAGCTGGAAAATGTACCATATGCATGTGCAACATCAGATTGTGCTCTGGTTTGTAGCAACAGATCAGTGGTAGCCAGTCTTGAGTGGTTTGAGCTCTCTGGCTCCTGGAACTTGGCTATATTTATCCCAGCTGATGTAGCCTGTCAAGTGTGTCCTGCTTTTGATAAGGTGCCGTAGTTGACAACAGTGGGGGATCAAGGGGGAGGAGCAGGATGGGGGCTTCCACCAAGTGTTTCTTTAGAGGGTCTGAAAAGCCTTGCAGTCTCATTCCCAAGTAACTCGGACCCTGCTTTCTAGATACAACTGAGAGCTTCATCAGAAACAAAGCAAAGATGCCAGAGCCTGTAAAGAAAGCAGGTAAGGACCATAACTGACAGACAAAACCTAAGAACAGCTTGACAGAGAAAAACGTGAGTAGCTTTTGAACGCTAGAAAAATTACATGCCTCTGTGAAAAAAAAAAAATAGAGAGGGAAAAGAGACAATATTTTATGAAGTTATAAATATAAGATATGTTGAGTGATCTTGCAGAGAAATCAGTAACTAGTTTGGCAACCCTCAGCCACAGAATTTTCTCAAGAGACTTTGGATAAGGGAAGAATAGAGGCAAAACACATTTAATTCTCAGATTCTTTTCATTTCTAATTTCCTTTCCCAGTCATCTTTAGGACTCTGAAAAAAGTTTGTAGTCTCTCTCTTGGACAGTTAAGCAGTATATACCTCTCCTGCTTTTGTTTTGGTTTTTTTTCCCCTGATAATTTCAAGCAAAATTTATCAGCAAAATTTGATGGTATTTATTGTTAGTGAAATCTCTGTGAAAATGAAAGCAAATGGCACCTGGTTCAGAGATTATTCTTTGTAGTTCTTCCAGCTAGTGACAGTAGAGCTCTAGGAAAAAGAATACATTGTACTATAAAGAATATATGCATATTTCTTTTCACTCACCCTCCTCCATCCTTTCCCCTTGAGCTAGAAGATAACTAGCCATTTTCAGAAAGTCAAGGTCACAGAGCCCAGTGCAAGTCCTGTCCCACTAGAAAAACATCAGGAAAATATTTCAGATTTAGGAAATTTCTAATTTAAAATTGAAAAGGAACCACTCAGAGGCTGCCCACATAGCAGAGAAGGGGAGGCCTAAGATGGGGTGTAAGGTGCAATGAATCTGTTTGAGAAGGAGGAAGAGAGCCTGGGAAGCAGAGGTAGGGAGAGTTTAGCTTCAGGACACCTGAGTGTGGGTAGAGGAGCACTTTGTGTTCACAATTAAGTTTGGGGAAAATAGTTGTCAAAAGCTGAAGTTATGATTGTTTGAAAAGTGTGCACATATCCAATACACAGGGCTGCAGAAAATTGTACTGAATCTGGGATTCTTCACCCTTAGAGCTCTCTCTTTACTGATGCCAGAATCACTGCTACCTGAATGTACAGTACAATGTGCATGCGTTTTTAATAACATGCAGTTTCCAGAGTCAGTCAATAATAGCGGCCTTTGTGCTTTGCAAAGAACTGGACAGGCATCAGCCTCCTGTTAGGCTGGTCAATGGGAAAATCTCCTGTGGTCACCACAATAAAAGAAGAACTTGTTAAGAAGAACTTTTATTTTGGCCAAAATATTTGGAAACAGGCACTGGCAAAGGGAGAGCACAAATCCAGCCCATATCTCCCATTAAGAACTGCAAAGCACTAAAGGATGATTAACTCCAACAAGATTCTTTATGTTCCGTCTATATGATAACTCTAAAGCAACAGTGGTGTCACCAATCCTTAAATTTTATCACAATTATAACATCATTTGATGTTCTTAAAGCTGCAATTTCTGAAATCAGATGGAAGTAGAATCATGTACAAAAAAGAATTGTACACCAGACCTTGTAATTGTAGAGAAAACCTTGAAAATACAAGCTGTGAAGGTTCAGCAATCACCCCAAAAATAAGACATTCATAATGATATTCTATTTTTAAAGTCACGTGATTGTTGAGATTTATTGAGATGTCTAATGCTTGTGATTGACAATGCTGGCCAAAAGAAATATCACATAGTAGGCAAAATTTGACTGTGTGATCACCTAGGCATTGTGACTTTTGATTTCTAATGCTGTAACTACCTTTAAATTAACATTTTCAGTCTCTGTGGATAAGAGCCAACTTCTCTGTTTGTGAAGATGCCTACCTTTGCCAGCTAATGATGAAGAAAAATTCTATTCCAGCTGATTTCTCCAAAGAAATTGAACAGGTGTCTAACATCACTAGTCCTACACAATTCTTATGAACAAACCAGCCCAAACACTGTCATTATCGCAGCAGGGGGAGGAAAAGCTCATATTACCCACTATGACCGAGACAGAACCAGACACATGCCCCATAACTTCTAGAGGGGATCTTCTCAGTCTCCCAAGAGACATTAATCCCTTTGGTTTTCTATTTCATGTTGTTTATATAGTTCAAGCCATTTCAAGAAGGGATAATCTTGAGCATAATATCGGGAGGGCTGAATAATCATCTAGCAATTCAGACTTGGACAAATCACGATTCCTGCCTTTCACATACCTTGTAGTTAGAATACTGAATAACCCTAAGACATCTTTAGTCTGTATTACTGAAATTTGGCATCTGCTGTATAGGTAAAGGAAAATGCTTCATTTGAACGATCAGAGAATGATCAGAGATATTCTGCCTATACCTGCTGTTTTAACAAATCTTTTAACATGTCAAAAAAACCCACAAAACCCAAAACAACAAACCACAAAACCTAAAACAGTGAAGCAGATTTTCCAACAGACATTCTTTTACTTTAAACTGTCCAAATAAAATACTTCAGGATAAGGCACTGCCTTATTTATTTACAGAATACCAAAAGAATTGCTGTAGCTTTCCAGAAAATCTACAACAGGATTTAGACCAGTAGCAATTTAGTGTCAGAGCAAACAAACATTGAAAAGCATGGCTTTTTGCAGGGTTCTGTTTGCAGAAACTTTATCTTCTCACTTTCATTTAAACATTTCATAATTAATCTCTGTTCAAAGGCTCGCTTTTTGGAAAGTTTTGATCGCTTTTTCTGTTGTGAAAATTCAGAGAGGTTAAAAAAAAAAAACACAATCATTTCCCTAACAACATTTTGTCACATTAAGAGGAAACAGCTGACCGTTCAAACACCAAATTTAGTAGATAAATGGGACTTAATGGGAAACATGTGCATTACTATGTCTGGAAAAGGAGAAGTCCTGTATTACTCACCTTCTCTGAAAATCAGTATACTTTTATTCATGTATTTTATAGATTGAGGAGTCTAGATTTTGCAGTTCAGATTAGGAAATTTTATCAATGGTTTATAAATAACCTGGCTTGTAAGTACACAGAAGCTTTTGGCATTAATAATAATAACCAATGTTGCATAATAAAGAGTAAACTGCAGAATTTTAGTTTGAATATAAACTCATCATTTTACATTTGCAAGCACCTAGCACAGTAAAGTACTGCTCCATGATAATGAAATTCTGTGCACTACAGTAATGCAAAAATAAATAATAATAATAATTCATATAGATATATTTTCCTCTTTTGTAAGTTAAGATTCAAAGCAAGCTGCACATTATTATCCCCATTTTACAGGAAGTATGTTGGATGCATAGAGAGAGGTGGCTGCTTAGTGAAACTATTCCTCGCCTGTTGCTCATGTTACAGGAATTTACAATCTCAGCTGCTGAAGTAGGCAAGGAATTATAAGATTGAGTAGTTCAATAGCTTTTAGGTCATGGAATGATTAAGCCTGTAATTGCAAGAAGCCACTTAGGTCCTGATCAAGGAATGCGCAGCATCTTTATATAGTTCCTCAGCAAGGAATTTTACAAGCACCGTTACTGAAGTCTGCTTATCCGCAGTTTGGCTCAATGAAAGAGCAAATGGTATAAAAGGAAAACTAGATGCCAAGTGTAAGTACTAAAGCAAAGATAAATTTTCAACATGAAGCCTTAACAAATTAAGAATTCCAAAAGCTAATACTACTTTTCTAATATTAAATACATTGGCCAGATAAATACTTTAATACCAAATACACAGAATGTGCAGTAAGATAACTCAGCTTTGTGGGAGAAAACCTGTGACTATTTTTTCTAATTACATTCTTCACAGATTTCTGCTGGAGTTTGTAGCATGTGCATTCAACTAGATACATTAGATTCTCCTAAAACATTTATACCTTTAACAGTTTTTATTTCAGAAAGGCAGAGCTATCATCTGAAAGCCTTATCATCTAACACACATTCTCCTTAAGCGCTTACCTCCCTTTCCTCCATGTACATATCACAAATAATGAAAGATGAAGAGCTGAAGTCAGAGCCACCACTCTGAACAGCAGGATTAAATTAAAACAAAACAAAACAAAACAAGAGAATGGCTCTCCTCTAGCACTCTCTCTAGTTAAAATCACTCTTGTGGAATCTACACTTCTTCCTCACTTTCATTTCACATACTTCAGACATACTTTGAAATTCACTGATTTTAGGAAAAAGTTTTCCTAAAATTCCTAAAAAGCTTTCACCTAATGCTTGTGATTCTTAACAAGCCAAATTATTTAGAGGAACTGAAATTATTCCAGTTATTTAAAAATTATTTTAATATACATCTCACCTCCATTTTTTCTGACAATAATCAAATAGGAATGTCTCTTCTAACTTCTAGTACTAACTTTTACCCTTATTAGGGATAGGAACTACCTACTAAGTAGTGTTGTAAGTACTTGGTGCTGTACAAAGACAACAGGAAAACAGTCCCTGCCTCAAAACACTTACAAAATAAAAGCCCAGTAAATAGACAGATAGTTCAACAAGAGAACAAAGGAAATAATGACTAGTACAATAGAGAGCAACCTGGGCAGTAGCTTAGCCGTTTTCTAGGTTTTTGCACAGGAGAGTGCAAAAGTTTTGAAGCAGAATAGTAACCTAGGTTGACGGTGAATGTTAGAAAGAGATTGCTTCAAAGCAGGTCAGAAAATAAGGGAGAAAGCCTGAAGGTGCTAGTAAGAAGATTTAATAAATGGCAGCAGTAGGAAGGCAGAACACTAGTTTTATTATTTTATTTAGGTGAAAAGTGAAGGAAATTGGTTTTGGAACTTAAATGATTTCATTCTAGTTAAATTTGGCCAAAAGCAAATGTATTTTATTTTTCTTCAGCCTCCTGATTGAAAGACTTATTAATAAATTATTATCAAAATAGAATATGATCATGGACCTCCAAATAGAGCTTTTTATTACTAACTAATGAAGCTGTAACTCTTGTAACGTGCACAACTGTATGGCTGATGTGTACATCTCCAGGTGTTTCAAGACTTCTAAAGGATGGGTGCTGCATGCAAGTTCTGGTTGCAGCAGCATTAGCCACCGAAAAGTCTTCTGCAAGCTTCTTGCAGACCACACGCAGCCTGCTTCCTCTTCTGCCTGGGGCAGAAATTTGCTGGTTTGCATTACTCAGAAGTTATATGAAGTTCTTTGCATTATGGAAGCTAGAAGTGATCAGGAAGGCCTGGGATGTATGAGAAGTGAAGTGCTGACAAACGGGTTAGTACAAAGTGGCTCTAGCCTCATTTTTTTTCATTAGCTCCACGTCCCTCTTCTCTCCCCATGTTAACTCCCCACAGCAATTCCAGTTCCATCCCCACAAGACACACACACATACAGAGCCCCTACCACTCTCCTTCCCTTCAATAATTCCTGTCGTCATCAGCACTGGTAACTCATGTGCGTCTCTGCCCTCTCTCCAGAGTTGCTATCGTATATTAGTACTAATGTCACCTTTCTGTCCCTTTGTGCAGGGTGGGTTAGAATTTACTGGGAAGCAGAGAGTTAACAAAGTGGACAGCAGAGAACATGGGCTTCTTGGTCATCAGGTGCCCCAGCCCGATGGTTCCTAAGTGCATGTTCAACTGGAGTCTGGATAAACATGTGATAGTGCCCGAGATCTGTCAGTGCCTGACAGGCACAAGAGCTGTAAGGCATTCCACAACATCACATGAGAGGTGTCCCAGTCGTTGGGTTTTCCACAGCCTGATGGTGGTGGTCATATCCAAGAGTGCTTTGAGTCTGGGATGGATATTTGGAACTCAGAGGGATGTATCTGGGTAGAAGCCAAATGTTGAAGTGAGAGAGATTGCCAAATGGGGAATGTGTTTCTGATGAAAGCAGGCAAAAGTGAGGTTGTCGGGACAGACAAGATGTTTTGAATGGTGGTGTTTAAGAACGTTCCTAATGAGGAAATAGCTGGATTAGATTGGTATAACCGCATGAGAAAAAAAATCTGTCAGTGAACTTGGATTTACGTGTTACTTAAAGTAGCAGCCGCAATAAAAGAGACTGGGAATAGCTGCTCTCTCACTTCTCTTTCTTCCGTTAAGCAGCCCATTTTTGCCCCAGAACTAAAAATGATGGCAGTCTCTTCACATGCTTGTTCAACAATCTCTCTTCTGCAAGAGAGTGATTTCCTGTAAAATCTCCAGCCATACATCACTACTTTTCCTTTGCAAATATGAACAGTGAAAGATGAAGGGAATACGAATGGATACAGAGAGACACTACTTTGGAGACTGTCACCCACTGACTCTGAATCTCAAGTGCAGGAAAATGACACTTAGAGTCTTCTTTACCTAGGAAAAAGTGGGTTCTCAACAACTGTTCTTGCAGGCCTTTATTCTCACGGGAGATTTTGGCCTTTTCCAATTTTATGCTTTAGTGGAAATCTTCACAATCATTTTAAGTTGGAACGGAAATGAGTCTTCTGGTGGGAAAGTGAAAGAGAGGAAAAAAAAAAGACAAGGAGACTGACTTATAACCTTCTACATATGTACTTCCGTTTCCCAAAAGTCAGGAATATTATGTAGTGGTGGTGATTTCTCCCTGTGCATGTAGTTCTGGCCAACAATCTGGTTTTGTTGAGCCATCTAAAGTAAATGTAAGAAACCTAATCAGTTTGCATGGTGTGCAGCAGATCAGAGTTATTTCCAAGTATGCATGTCTTGAAACCCTGCCATTTGTAGACTGGAAGGTTTACAGGCCACATTGCTGTTAAGTAATTAATATATTTATAGATTCTTTTGTGCTTAAATAGAAGAGTGGCGATGATGATAGCAGAGACAAACAACATGCCCCTCTGCTGCTTTATCTGTATCATCATAGGGAAGGGAGCCAGGTAGCAGGTATTTCAGGAGGGGTTCAAGAACTGACCCAGCTCCCCACCGTGCGGTACCCTGGCCACCTTTTGAATTCTGTACATCAACCTGCTGTCTACAATAACTCTTCTGCAATTATTCACAGTACACTGCATCAAAGTATACCCTGCTACGTTATTTACTGAAGTGGAATACTACATCAAAAGATGTGCAATTGGTAACAGGCATTTGAGTATCACACTCTATGTTCTACACAGTACTATATTCTGTTTAAGAACAGTTACACCACTTACAGGCCTGAGGTTAGAAAAAACTCAAAGAAAAGCATGCAGGAACATTCCACTCTCAGAGGAAATTTCACACATATCTTAACATGGAAGAAAAGGATGGAGAAAAATACAACAGGAGCTCAGTCAAGGCTACTATAGACTCAGTGCAAACCAAAATTGTTTTTTCATCAAATACATAAAATATGGAGAAAAAAGAAAGAGAAAAATGTAATTTAGAGTTTTTATATAACAAAGAGAGGTAAAATACAAAATATACTAAATTCTAAAAGTATTTGTAGTTGCTATTTTAATTGATGTTTAAGCAGCTTTGAATCCTTTGCAATACAATGCAAGAAATGTGAAATGTATTACGACAAAAAGTCCAAAGGCCATCAGACGAAATCTTTGCAGATGTAACTCCACTGAGGTCAATTAATTTATGTAGTCTGAGGACATGCTGGAGGAATAGAGACTTTATGCAATGAATAGATGGCATTATTAGTAATACACCATTTATATTAACTAAAGCACCTGTTTGAACATGCATATAAACTATTTCTTTTAAAGTATTCTCATGCCATGTTTCTTTCATTTTTATAAAGCGGAATCAAAAGTTTAAAGCTAATTATAATCATTGTTGTGGTGTTTGGAAGAGTTCTTGTTGCTGCCCAAGTAGGAGAGCCATAGGCAATTTGCCACAGAGGTGACAGATATAATTTAATGTGATCAAATTACTAATATTTTGTAAAAGCGTGGTTATGTAGAGGTAAGTCAATAAAACAATAACATAATAATGCACAAAAAAATTCAGTGTATGAATCAGAATGTTAATTACTGGTAGTTTTATCCATGAACATAGCTCATGGCAACTATAAAAAAAGATAACAGATTTCATTAAGACCAAAACATGAGCATAAAATGAAAAATTTTATTCAAAATAAAGCTGAAGAAATCTAAATAAATAAATCAGGGTAAAGAAATTACTAAAATAAGTTACCTTATTAAAATCTAATCCTGAGAAAGATCAGGATACTCAGGAACCAAAATCACGATATATTGCTTGCTTTCCAAATTCCTATCTGTGGTGCTACTTTGATTACCTATGAACTAAAACATCATTTAATTCATGCTTGTTCGCCCCATATATTAATAATTTCATCAATTCTCATTATAAGCATCATAAGTGCTTCTTAACACATAGAGGAAATATTTTGATCCACCTTGTAATTAATTAGAAAACTAGTTGTAGAGTGCTACGTAGGCAAGTACTTTAATTTTTAATGCTGAACTAAGCATTTGAATGCAAACAACAATTGATATTATTTTAGCCGGGATAAAATTACAAGAGCCATCATAGGAACGTGCATCACTTCCCACTGAAGTCTCGATCAGTCAAAACAGAAGGACTAAAGATGAACCATTAATTCATTGTGGTATATTAGGACGCAGATTACTGCACAAACTGCAGTAGGAGGAACAGATCCTGATTCTGTTCAATGACTTTAGTAAGCAACTGTTAGGACAGAATTAATATTTCTAAATAAAACTGCATGGCAAATTAATGTAGAGAGCTTGATATGCAAGAATACATATAATGCCATCTTGTCATAGATCAAAACATTCACTTATGAAAAATCAGAGCTCATTATGGGGGGAAAGAAAGAGGATGATGGACAGTGAGATGAGTTTGCTATCCGTTCCATTTTATTTTATGACAATCTGGAGAAAATATGACACCTCAGAGACAGAACGCGGTAAACTCAAAGACAATTCCACAACTTCTCTGTGGAAAGTGTTGTAATTTATATCTTGTATGGGCAGACGGGAGAGAAAGGAGACAGCTGTTGCAGCCACAACAGCTGACTACACCAGATATGCCACAATTGCAAAACAGATTTTAGTGAGCTCTCTCTCTTTTTTTAGTTTCTGCATTTACCAAGAAGCCAAAGACATCAGAGGTGACAGCCGGAAGCACAGCTGTGTTTGAAGCAGAGACAGAAAAAGCTGGCATCAAGGTGAAGTGGCAGCGAGCTGGCACAGAAATTACTGAAAGCGAGAAATATGTCATCAAGGCAGAAGGAAATAAGCATTCACTGACAATCAATAATGTAGGAAAAGAAGATGATGTGACATATGCTGTAATAGCTGGAAGTTCCAAGGTCAAATTCGAACTCAAGGTCAAGGAAGCAGGTACAGCGTTTCCTAAGCAATTCTAATTTCATCAGCATTTCCACTCCCACATGCAAACTTCATGAATGAGGCCCATGGAAATTAGCCTATCGTAACACCGTAAAATTTCTCTGCCAGCGATACATTTGTTTTGCTCAATTATTTGAAGCTACTCATTAATATTAAGCTGAGGGATACGTTTCCTGTAGCTAAGACACCCATTTCCAGATGTCAGAAGTCCACACAGTGGAGATCACAGGCGAAATTTCAATGTACACCTTTAGAATTCTTTGTTAAGCTTTTCAACTTAACTATTGAAAAGCAAAGCAAAACAAACTAGCCTAACCTAACCTGACTTAAGCTAGGATACCTGCATCTCAGGCCTGGTATGTTTGGTTTTTTTTTTAAATTATTTTATTTAAATACAAAATTGTAACAATCAACAAAAAAATATTTTGTAATGTTTTTAGGAGCTCATACATTCCCAAAAACTGTCTCAAAATCACCTGCTAATAAAAATATATCTTTCAACAGGGACTTGAATTCAAAAAGTAAACTTTGTATTATTTGTATGTCACCTATCATTACTACCTCTGTATGCATTAAAGGATCAGTTAGATGGGAATTTGAAAAACTTCCCCAGGCTTTTCCTGGGAAAAACTATAAAGAGCCAAATTCTCTGGAATTTTGTCATGAAAAATGTCTGAAGATACTGAGGATAGATGAAATCTCTCATTTTTTTGAAACATTTTGACCTTCCTGATCCCTTTTTTCCCCCTCCAAAATGGTCCCTGTTTACCACTTCTGGTATTTTAATTTTCCCCTTTTATTTTGGTGAAAAACCTTAAACTCAGATTGTTTATATCACCTCCTCTCCTTTGCTACCACTAGCAAACATGATGGTAGCAAAATCTTCTGGTCAGCTGAAAAGATACTGGTGAATATTTAACAGGAGACAAGACATCCTGTTCCAGATGAAGAGACAGTGCATGACAGCTTATGAGAAACATGAAATCCTAGTATAGATTAGGACAATTTAACAGTTGTCAGAGCATATAGAAGTATGATCCTGCTGACTATCTCATCCTGAAAGTAAATAGGTATATAATATACTAGTTTTATCTTCCTCATTGTCTTTCCGGTTAGCTCCAGGTAGCGCCTGCTACAGGCAGGCAGCCTACAAATAACAGAGTTAACTGAATTTGGAAGTGTAATCATTACCTAAAAGCAATACACCTCTAATAGGCATACGTTGGTGATGGAGATATCAGGATGCCAAAGCACAGATAATTTTCCTGTATACATTATATATTGACGCCTCAAAATAAGCCTTTTCTACATAGCTATACATCCAAGTTATGGAAGCATCTACACTACATTGGTTACAATAATGCTTGGTTCTTTCCAGTAAAAACTGAGTTGAAATTTATTTGGACAAAGTCCAATAGGATACCTTCTAACAATAAAAGCGGTAGAATTTGATACTTAAGTATTAAAATAATACCAACTTAAAATCACACAGTTTTCTTTCAAGACACAAATACAGTTTAGGGTAAAAGGCATAAATTTTCTGAGCGCGGGGTTGACTCATGTTCATACATTCACAGATACTGTCTTGTTTTTCAGACCTTACTAAGATTAGATTGTTAAAGAGTAACTGGATTACCCTTTATTATTTTTGCAGACAATAATAATTTCAGGTCTTCATTATTAAAAAAAAAAAAAAGGAAACTGCCCCCTAACATGCCCAGACACAGCCACCTCCCTTTGTGACAGAGGAGCCACTCAAATTAGTCATCACATGGCACAACAGGGCCAGAAATCCCTGGTGGAAAAAACATTGCAAGTAGCTGGGAAACTGCATGTGGGACTTGTGTGAGAGGTAGGCAAGGCCCTTTGGACATGGCTCCACTACCTATGGGGGAAAAAAAAAAAAAAAAATAAATCTGTCTGCAACCGATCTGTTTCAGGAAATTCTACCTCCCTCCATCTGCCCCAGTTGCTCAGTCCTACTCCCTTCTCATACATTTCTGTCTTCTCCATTGTGCTAAATGCATTTGCCTGAATTTGTTTGTGAGGTCATGGTTTAATTGAGAGGCCATAAACTTCCATGAGCCAGGGGAAGAGATGATAGATGGAATTTTAAAATACTTTCTCCATATTGATTACTAGCAGTGTCCAGAGCTTTTCCCAAGCCGCACACAGCAATAGCATCTAGAACATTACAATCCAACAGCAGAGTTAAACAAAATCTCATGAATAAGCAAATTGTTTACAAAAGTAATAATTGCCTCATTTTTCATTACCTTTTCTATTAGACCACTGAAGTTAACATCAAATAATAGTGTTACTCATCAGCTGACAGGTTTCTACACATCAAGATTATAGAATTTAAAAATCCAGGCATCAGTGCTTTCCAAGCTCAGCAAAAGAAAGAGCCTCATCATCCAGCTTCCATGAGCCCCTTCTGCTTCCAGCATATCCTCTAAGTTCTACAAAACCACAGTGAATTTCTCGGCATTTTCTAACACATATTAAAAGCTGTTCTTTTGCAAAATTTCTTCAGAAAGGAAGGAGAAACATGACGGCTGTAATCTTGGCTTACATTCACTTCCAGAGAAGGGTGAGA